AGCAGTTTAGAGCTCGAAAAATTGGAAGCGTGAAAAGCCACCCAAGGTAGACGTGCAATGTATTTATACTCGAGTAGAATGGAGGCGGATCGTTAGATCAATAGCTGAATCAACGACCCAGATGAAGCGCAGAATTCGAGGAGTCGGCGATGGAGGTGACGCGCGTCAATTAGGGTTTTCTGAAATTTGAAATTTGAAATTTCAAAGGGGTCTGTCAGAGTGTCAGACTTATCCGAAAAAGCAATCATGAGGTTGGGATGCGCCCCGATGGATTGACGAGACGAGTCATCAAAGAGGACGAAGACGAGCAGGTACCACAGGAAGACAGCGAAGCTACATACCACCAAATTTACTCTTAAGCAGTCGACTGCTTAGAGTAATTTTCGGGGGGGACTAGATGATATGGCCACATAAGGATAACCCGGTCCAGAAGCTTATTACTCAACCGGCGAACCACTCGAATTACTCGCACGTCGACATGACTCCGTCGACATGCCAAAATCGACTTCCCAAAGGTCGATTCTACTAAGAGCAATCAAGAAGAAGCCGAGATTGATCTAGTCGACTCTTGCAAGTCGACCTTAATCTACCGACTTTCACTAATCGACACCAATGAAAGAGGAACAGCAAAGCTTCCGGTCATCCAGATATTCTAAGTCGACTCCCAGAAGTCGACTGAACTAAGACGACTCTCTGAAGACGACTCCGTCTAAAAGAACTAGTCAAGCGTAGCCTCCGAAGCCGCATATGTCCGCGAGTCGACTTTCTAGATCTCGAAGTCGACTTCACATACCTTAAATAACAAAGATGTGATGACGATTCACCACACTTGCAACATGACCAAAGCCCTCCACATTAGGAAAGATAAGAAGGAATCTCGCGATGACTCAGCAACAAAGGGGAGACGAATCGACAGGGACATTTTGGACCTTCTAGGTCCACCGACTTGGGCATTTTGGGCACTTCGCGTAAGTATTCACTCCTATATAAAGGAGATGAGGTAACCCTAAACCCTAACTCTCATTCACTCCCACTCTCCCCCATAGCTGCTGCGCAGCCCCTCTTCATCACTCTCATACTGACTTGAGCGTCGGAGGCTCTACGCCGGAAACACCTCCGGCGTTGAGTTTTTGCAGGTATTCCTGCGGTCTAGCAACGATTTAAAGACGGTTCAAGCAGATCTGAGCTCACAACCACCGGTTTACTCCAGATCCAGAAGTAGACCCATCAAATTCAACCTAAAAAAACGCCACAAATTGCTCACGTCTATCCGTGTAAAAAAATTGAATTCCACATTTGAAAGGGGGTTGCCAAAATTGGTAAGTCAATAAGGCTGACTTCGAATTTTTTAAAACTTTCCCAAAAGGATTTATTGACCTCTCTTTTTCAATATATATATAGATGTCATATACATGATTTTTGAGGGATAATGAGCTATTAAAATTGGCCTAAACATGCATGTACATGGAAATTCGAATTTAAGGCTCTAACTTTCAAAAATTCGAAACTTGACTTTAAGTACATGCATGCCATCATTTTTCTTCATGATAATTCTTAAAATATCATGCTAAGGCTGGGAAAAATGAAAATCACGAGTTTACCTTTCACCAAACTCGAAATGGTGCTAGGTCCCTTCACTCGTGCTCTTCTCGCGGCTCTAAGGACTTGGCTCGATTTTTGGTGGCTAATGGCTGAGGATGATGAGCTCTGGGGACTTCTAAAAATCCATATAACACTTCGGATATGCTGGACCTCGAGTGAACTAGGCTGGAGCTCGGTCCTTCCCTTGGCCCATGCCTTGCGCGCACGAGTGGGGGCTGGCCTTCCCTCTCGGCCTTTACTCTCTTATGTGCTCTCTATATGGTATCTAAAATATTCTAAGTGACCAAGAGTAGTCTCCAGCTGAGGAATGAGGTTTTTAAAGGAGTCTTGGGTGGATTTTACAAGACTTGAAGTGGGAGACCAACTTTGGTGACTTTTTCTTCAACCTAGGCGCATGTGGGCATGGTGGAGGGTCTTGGGCTGACAATGCACGGTCTTTGGGGAGGAATTTCAGAGCACAAATGCTGAGGAGGGAGGTCTGGTCAATTCTGGTCGTTCTCAAGGTAGGGGGGGGGACAACATCTTACACATTTGAATATTATATTCACTAGCGCATGCTCCACTTAAGTGCTAATTGTGTTTGACTTTCCTGAAACTTTCTTAGGGCCATCTTAGCTTAAATTACTCCTGATTAACCCCTTAATACAAGCAGCACTTGGGTCTCGAAGGAAATGGGCCGAAACTTTTGGAATTGGGCTCAGAAGGTGGGCTGGCGCTGGGCCTGGAGCGCTGGGCGCGAGCTGGGCTGCATGAGCAGGCCTGTGCACGCAGACTTCGCGCGGGACAAACCTTGGATCGAGAAAATTGACCTTCTAAGGCTTAAACGACATGGCCCATGATCCTTTCGATGCATAACACTTAGAAAAATTCCGCGAGCACTTGGACATGACTTAGGCCTTCTTGCACGGCATTGGACCTCGGGTGCGCGTAGGCTTAGGCTCGGCATTCACTTGGGCCGAGGCTAACACTTGTCTAAGGCTGGACTTAAGAGTCACAACGGAAAAATTCCCACATTGCTCGCCTATGCTTAGGCACATGGCTATGGCTCGGCAATTGACTAGGCGCGAGTGAAATTTAACCCATGCACGAGCTCGGTGCGGGTTCCTCTTAGCCGAAGGCTTATACTAAGACTCGATAATAATGAACTCATACTTAGAAAATATTCTAAGGATTCATCGCTAAGGTCCGGCACTACTAGGGCTCGGAAATGATGAGGCGCGACTAGGCACTCGCATGATCGAACTCGCGGCACTACTAGGGCCGAGTGAACTTGGAAGACTCTTACACTTAGAAAAATTCTAAGGCATGGCTACAAGCACGGCTAGGGCTTGATCAAGACTCGGCACTACTAGGGCTCGATACTTGGCTAGGCACGAACTAGGCGCGAAACTCGTGACCGAACATACTCGGTTCCGGACACGGCTTGACTTAGACGATTTATCGAAACATACTCAGTTTCGGTTATTCGTCAACTGGAAATAAATAATCCCAACTGAATGAAATCCATTTCTAAAAATAAATGGACCGGAATTAATAACTGAACTGGATCGGTTACTGACTGGAGTTACCGAGATTGCTCTCGACTTAAAAGTCGAACTTAGAATTGAATAGCTGAATAACTAGGCTCGGAACTCGAAACGAGCAATATTAATAAAAGGAAGTAGTTTAAACTTGGAACTAAAACTGCCACTTTTATTAATAATGGAACTGGGCTATCACATGCTCATCTCCCCATCACCTGCCGCCTTCACTCGTCTACTAGTGAATTTCAACAAATCATATATCATTTTAAAGCTCGCGACTTAATATTACCAACAACATGTTGAGTATCATCATACGTAGTTAAATTATTGTTAAAAATTAAAAAATATAAAAAAATTAAGCATTAAATTCTTCATAATATCAATGGAAGATCTGACCGTTAGATTTTTTCATGAAACATATTGTGTGGACAACACTTTGCATTAGGAATCCAACAATATCTTCTGATATTCGATCGAATCTTTCAGTAGCCGTAAAACTTTCTTAATTTTGTTTTTTATTTCTGGCAATGCACGGCTGTGGGACAGATACTTCAACCGACGATTTTCCTCGGTTATCCAAATTTTATGGGTGAGCTCTCATTTTGTTCCTATGTTCATGGACTGTAATACCCATTAATCAATTTGATGATTTGCGTTCATATAGACCTTCAATCTGAGTGATCATTTTTAACACATTTTTTTAATATTTTTTTTTTTACTATTTTTTCGGTAGTTGTAGTTCGTCGGACAAATGTTTGAGGAAACATTGACTCTGAGGATAAAAATGACTAACGGACAAAACGTTAGATACAACAAACAATTAAGGGAAATTTGGCATACGAAAAGCAAAAATGATGTAGCGTTGGAGCATTATATAAAAAAAATTCCAAAAGTTTTTAAGGTAATATACATTAGTAGAACAAATAGTTTTGAAACATTTAGCTATGTATAGATGATATTATCCTTCCTATATTTAGATGTACAACTTGGTTTTGGGATTTCATTTTTTATTTTTTTTTTAAGTGACAGATTATGTAAATAAACACATACTTACAATCCTCAAAACAACAAGTAACAATCGACTACGACAGCGATACAGCCGAACCAAAGAGAGGACTACAAGACGAAACTTTTGTATCCTAGAATCGACTAAAACATACCCACAAGACTAAATACAATACTAATTTTCCCACAAGTGGAGAATTTCTAGCTCCCAAAAAGGTGAATGAACTACAAAACTACATACCATAAAACAACACACCACAAAAGTACTAGAGACTAGAATAAAGCCCTCCTCCACCATCATCAATACTCCAACAACCACCAAATGAGTCGACCCCCCACGCAAGACATTGGGAACCACCCCGGAACTGCACCGGGAGGCCAGCTTCAACAACTTCCACCATTACCAAATCGACGACCCCCTCCGTCGGATCTCTCCACCCCAGCACCAGGGACGGATCGAATATAGGGGTGCAAACCAGACGTTGGTCTCAAGATCATTCGCCATAATAGTCGCAGATAAGTCGCCAACGTCGACAAATAGCCCCCAACCGTCGGAACCCCAAATCTCGCCGTGGCCACATGCAAGAAGGAGAAACGCCACGCCGGATAAGAAAACGACGATCGAGAGGTGCGGTCACCAACCCTCCGATGCAGGCTACCACATCAATGATGAAGAGACATCGACGGATGGGAGGCAGTAGCAACAATGAAAAATATGAACTGAAGGAATAATTGGGAATTTTAGACCTGGTTTCTCTCTTCTCGCTTTGTGACTATATTTTTTGTCCTTTTTTACTGGGATTTCAATATTTAAAAAAATAAAAATAAACATATGTCACAAATTCCAAAATTTTAAAAATATTCATCAGTAGAAGATTGGGTGTAATAACCATTTTTGCACTTATATGACCAAATTTGCAAACGGATCAATTTTATGGACCAAATTTGCATTTTACTCCGGTTTATTCATACTGCAAACCAGTCGGAATCTGATCTATCAATTCAGGGATAGATTAGTCATTCCATTACAGTTTTCCCAATTCTCAAACCCTTGCGTGAACCCAATTTTCTGGTTGCCGCTCTCAAAAGGCATAGGAGTCGAATTAAATCGACTGATATCCTGTTACGATGGCGAAGCGAGAGCTATCCACTACTTTGAAGAACTTGAAGGTACAAGCTTTAGTTGCGATATGTTATGCTTGTCATTTGAACTTCAAAACCGTCGTGATTTGTTTCAGTTTATCCCGTCTGCCGCCCCTCGCTTGGTTATATTTGTCAATGATGTAATTTCTGTTTCGTTGTTTGAATTAACTATTTTTTATTGATTTATGTGCCAACTATTCCTATTGTTGATTTTGCCCTTCCACCCTTTCCAGTTTATGCAAAGGGCAGCTCAGAAAGATGACAAGTCCAAGAAAGAAGAAGAGGTCTTACCTGCTGGAGATTTCGCTTCCTCTGGCGCTGTTAGTGCTGTTAAAAGATGGTATCATTCTGTTTCTTTTTCTTTTAATCAATTCTATTTGTGGTTAACTGAATTTATGTTCCTTTGATGCACGATTGTGTGTGGGTTGCAACTTCCCTGTTTTTGTTTATTTTCATATTATGTAATAAATGGGAGAAACGGAAAAAGAGGATGCTAATTGTTGTCGTGACTTAAATTTTTTGAACGACGGGTGGTATAGGAGTGAGAATCTTGAATGTACTTTAAAGCAGTCAACAGTTGCTTGATTAATGTCTCGAGGGTATTTCCACTGAAGTTCTCTCACGTCCTTTGCTAGTTGATGGCTTTTTATACGGGAAAAAATGCTGCTGAAGAGTTGTGCTAATTGTTTTCTTATTTCATGCTTTTGTGCTGCATTTGGAATGATATGTTCATAACAGATTCTGAAGCTCCATGAACAAATTAGTTTTTCAAAGTGGCCAGAGAACCTCAGTTCATTTGTGCTTTGACCCTATCAAACAAATTGATACTTCGCATAGCCTATGCTTTTAATTATGTTATTCTTCCTGCACAGAACATTTGCTACTGGTGTGACATTAGAACTTATCTTTATGAAAAGCCTATGATAGTTATCTTTGAGAAAAAAAGAATTAATTGCTAGGATATCATTCAGAAGATATTATATATTGGAATGTGCTAGTTGAGACTTGAGAAGAATAGGAATAAGACTAGGAACTTGTATCGTGATCGTATACTGTTTGGTGGAAGAGTCGGGAATATGATAGCAGAAGTATTCATTAATTTGTGGGCTATACCAACATTTATGTGTTTAGCAGCGAGGCAAGCCTAGAGAATATTAGAAGGCATTTCAAACACATGGTTAATTTAATATTTTATGTGAAACGGAAGGTGGCTGGTGCTGGTTTTAATATCTTTGCCGACCGGGATGTTATAGTGTAATGATTACAGCTACTCAATGGACATGTTTTATTTATGATGAGATTTCACTTTAGTGTTTAATACGCCTTGTTAGATTTCCCTGGTTAACTCATGTCACTACCTTGCAATAAGTATACTGTGGATTTTATTGTGCTTTATAGACTACCTTTTCTTCTTCATTTTTTGTCTTGTGCCTGTTCACATGCAGTGTTGTCGTAGTTGAAGGTGATCCTCATCCTGGGGTGTGTAGAGGGCGCATGTCATTTTTAAGTTTTAACCCATCCATTGATGTGAGTAAATGGTTTGAATGGATACAAATTTTTAAGGAGTATTCAAGTTTTGTGGTTTGATTCTCATTTCTAAGGTTTGTTTTATAGAAACTCAATGATGTAGCCTCTGACTCTGCTGCTACAAGTTCTGATAGACAAAATGAAGCAACATCAATAAGGTCAGTTTCTGTTTGAACCTTGAGTTCTTGTATATTTCACCATAGTATTTTGGGTCTATAAATCAATTTTCGGTTGTACGTTTCTTGAAAAATACTCTTTGTGCTGACGTAGCTATTGCCAGATGCTGAGATGTACATTCTATATAACTATCTGACTTTTAATATGATAAGACTGTTTGTGGGTGTTATTGATTAAGATTGTAAAGTTTCCTCGAACCCTATATATTGAAGGCTATCATGCAATTATGAAATATTTTTTGTTGATTTAAAGTTATATAAGGTTGGGCTTTTTGTGAATGATCAGAGTGGGGAAGAGAACATATAATTAAATGATCACGCTCTTGATTCTTTAATATATCTGATTTTCCATTGTTGTACAGAGAAAATGGGGCAATAAAATATAGATCTGAAAATGTGGAATTGGATGCATCAAGCGGAGCTGGAAATGGTGATTATAAGAGGAAGCAAGGTGGCGTTGCCTTGGAAGCACAGTATCCAAATAAGTCGAGAAAGAATTATGATGACAACCAAGATTCAACACCAAATAGTAGCAGTTCTCAGAAACAACATAAGCGTGAAAAATTAGATTGGAGTGTGCTTCGTCCTCCAAAATATGAGACCAAAAAGAGGTAATTGTTTCAGGAGACTTCCAATTCTGCATCAATTCACCCACTGTATGCTAAAATTGTTGCTCATGATATTTTCTAGAGTTGTTTGGCCCATAGAGTTGCCTGATCACAGTCAATTTTGTATTTGATTTTCACATTGTATTAGATGACCAATCCTCTATAATTTAGACAACTTAATGCTATTAACATCTTAAATCTTAATGATGTCGCTGTTAGTTATTTACTCTTACATTTAAAGATTTTGTAGTGCCTTGCAATCAATGTGGAGTTCATTGCAGTCAGTAATTTATGGGTTTCATTATTTGCACATCCCATTAATGTCATCTTTGTCTAGTGAGAGCCCTTTAGTTATGGTCTTTATGTTGCTTGAAAGAGGAATTCAAGAGCGAGGAACTCCTATCAACTGGCTGATATACCGACCATTTGAAATGAAACCATAAGATCCTAAAAAATTGGAATAAAACTAAAGAAAAAAGATCGGAATCATTGAATTAGTTGCCCTGGATGATAGACTTGTAATGTAAAATGAAATCGTTAAAACATTAAATCCTTAAGATCCTAGAAATTTGGAATAAAACTAGAAAAAGAAAGATCTGAATTATTGAATTAGTTGCTACGTTCTACTAAATACGTTTTGTTAGATTGTATGGCACACATTTGAATCCTATCAAAGGAGCCAAAATGACAAGTCATTTTGTAACGCCTCATTTTGATTTAAGAAATAATCCATGGCTTATTCAAAGTTTTCGGAACTCATTTTTCGAAATCCATATCATTAGGGCATTATCTTGATTTCAATTCATATTTGAAACCTCACGGGAATTCGTTACCCGGTTTTTCACCTGGACTCATTGTCCTAAAACATAACAGTTCACATGATATCCAAATAACACATTCATCATGAATATCCAACACATAGTTCAATAATACGAACCAAATCATAAGTTTAAATCCAACATTTTCGAACGACATGGTCTGAATGAAATCAACATGTTCAAAACCCAAACAATTTAAGTTCATAAATTCAGACTAATTTATTCATAATAAAGCGGAAGTAAATAACATAAATATGACCATCCACTTGCCATCCTGCCGTCGTGCCCATTCTGCTTAACCTTAAACGTTAATTTCAGGTGGGGATGAGCACAGTTGGAAATCGTAGTGCTCACCACTATGCAATAAATCATATACAATATCAGTTAGGCATGGTTGCAGCATGAACACGAATCAATCAATTATCACATCTCCTAATCATACATTTTTACTCATGTGCACATCTATCATTAGCTATTGAAGGACATACAGCTCACAACAATGGGAGCAAAATACCGAAGGACATACAACTCAAACGGGGCATTACACATTTGCTCTAAAAAAGCTAGTAACATAGATTCTTTTAATAAACTGACGAACTGCCACGAGGTCTGTAGTGAAAGCATATGGAAAAGTACACAAAGAGACACATAAAACTGCACAAAAAGGCTTTTGCGAGATGGACTAATAGCGAGTCGAGATGTGATACTTTGTGAACTATCAAATGTCATGATATTAAGAGATGTTTGTCTAATTGATAGTAGTGTGTGCAATTACTAAGCAGCGCATAGCAATAGGCCTTACTGATCAATATCATGTCCTGCACCAACAAGTTCTTGGGATAATCAGCCTCGAGCTTATTGTTTACCTCATGATCTCTTGATCGAAACACACTCTATTCAAACAACAATATGAATGGAAGGACCCCTGCTCGATGTCCAGTTTATGTTTCGTCCTTACGAGGAATCATGGCATTAAACATGCTTGAGAAGTAATAGAATGTTTCATTGAAATTCATGAAGAAGAAACGCTAGCTGTAATGCATGATTTTTATAATATATACCATCTATGGTATTGTTAATAAGAGATTGGGGTACCTAGAACTTTGGCAAACAAGAGGAAAATAAAGTAACTGGGCAACTTGCCCCTTCACCCGACTTCAATGTATAAAACGAAAGACCATCACAAATTAGACAACAACTAACTGTAAAAAAATAATAAATAAATAAATAAATAAAATTCACACTGAAACCAACACTTTGAATGCAAATGGTAAACCCATTCAAAGTGGATGGAAATTCTCTTAGGCACCCAAACCTCGGGACATTCTGAAAAGAAATATATGAGGAATTAAAGTGTAGCGCCCCGTTCAATTTATAGAATTTCTCGAAATATTCTATTTGTCGAATATTATTTATAAGCTTATATTTATTTTATTAGTTGCGATGTCGACCTAAATATAAGGTTGGAATACTCGATCGTTTTATTGAAAAACGTTCGTCGTTCGGCAATTTCGGTTTAATCGTGTGAGACGGATCTAGCCTGTTTATTTGTGGATTTTTAGGATTATTATTATTATTAGTATTAATTGCGAATATTGTGATTATTATTGTTATTACCTGATTATCGTTGTTATATTTATTATTATTATTATTAATGAACATCTAAATATTACTATTTGCTAATTGTAATAAAATTTTCCTAGATATGTATTTGTATTATTATAATTATTTCTATTATTATTATTATTATTAAATAAATACTATGTGTATTATGTATTAGCCGATTTCAATTTAATTTTTCGCCACGTCGAACCGAGCCTCGTATAATTTTCGAATCGAGCCCGAGAGAACCGACCGATTTTAATTATTTTCCGTAGCCATTGCGAGATTAATTTGGCCCAACCCAAATTATTTTAAATTATTCTATTTAGATTAATTTGAGCCCATTTAAATTAAAGCTGTCCATTCATGAGTTTTAACTCCTTAGGCCCAAAAGAAGTTGGAGTTCAGCGTGCGTCAGATTTCCTTCCCTTCTTCTTCGCCGCGACCGAGTCCTCCTCTATCTGTACGTTTGAATTTCTGTTCCAATTTTGTCGTCAGATTTTCCCCACGTTCTCCCCTGGCTCTATTTTATCTCCGCGAAACAATTCTCATCTTCAGAAGCACAAATCGCACAGCCCTTCTGTTTAAAAAAAAAAAAAATTGCCGTCAGTCGCCATTTTCCCGGCGATTTCAGTCCCAGCTTGCTTGTCACCAGAGCACCCCGAAATCAACTCCTGTCGCCATTAATACCGGCGATTTCAGTCCCGCCAGAGCCGTCCGCTGCAATCCAATAGCCGTCGGAGATCCGCCGTCGACAGCGTCGCTTTTTCCGATCGGCCTCAGCCACGAGCCCTTCCTCGCTGCAGGGGTTGTTCTTCGTCGAGGCTTTTGAGGTTCGAGTCTCCGTCTGTTCGTACGTTCAACCCGACCGTCCGACCCGTTTTTCCGATAGCTCGAAATTCCCGAAGACGGATAATCTATGTCGAACCTTCTTGTTATGTTTTCGTATTCATTCATATTGTTGTTCAATCGAGCTCGTTGAATCGATTCCGCTATTTGCGTTGGTATTAATTTTGGACCGTAAATGTTCCGTTTACTCTTTTGGTCTCGTGAATCTCGTGGATATTGGAACTTTCGTTTTCGAAATCGAACTTCTTAGGTTGCTGTGATTATTTGAATAAGATTCGGAGACTCGTTGTGGGTTTTCGGGATCGTCTCGTTGACTCGTTCGTTTTGTCGTTTGTTTATTTTCAAGCCGGTTATGCCTTTTTCCGTTTGCGATCCATATAAACCATTTGATGAAAATTTCGAAACTCTGAAAGTTTATTTTTAAAATGTTTCTGAAATTAATGGAACCGATCGCCGTGAGCTTCGTCGTTGGTTTCACTTTGTTGCCGGTAATTCCTGGCGAGCAGTAGAGTTTTTCTTCTTCTCGCAGTAACATTTTCCGATCCATCTAGAATATTCGCAACCAGTCAGTTGGTCCAGTGGCGTGCTGTGCTCTCTCGCGTGCTGGAGGTCTCGAGTTCTAAACCCTCCACCAGCAGACCCTTTTTCCCTTTTTTTCAGTCAGCCCAGTTTATTCCATAGCGCGCGGGCCATTCGGCCCGTATCCAGCCCGCGCGCGGCCCGCCTCCAGTCACCAGCACCCCGGCCCGTGAAGCCCGTTGCCCAGCCCGTGTACAGCACATTGAGCAGGCCCTGATATTGCGGCCCAATTCGCGTGTACAGGCCCATTTTGTGGCAGATTTTCCAGTGCGGCCCAAATCAGTTTTTAAGCCATATTTTGTATACCGGAGCCCGTTTTTCGTACGGATTTCAACTCTAAAAATATTTTCAAATGGGAAAAAAAAAATTTGGGAAAAATTATTTTAAGTCCCGAGACTCTATTTTTGGTCCCCGAGTCTTTTCTTTTAAAAATTTGAGAGTTCCAAATCCACGATAAATTCCGATAAATCCCTTAATCACTTTTTTGATTAAGAGTGAGTCTTTAATGATTGTAAGTATCAAGATAATATATTTATGAAATTATCTTGATTAAATGTAGGTGTTTGAGGAGTCGAGCCCTCGACCTACATCCCACTACTTGTTGTGTTTTCCCATTCCGATTACCAGGTGGGTTTTATTTGAAAAGTTTCTATGCATTAATTAATTGTTATTGTTGTAGTATGATCAAAGTATGCATGTGAACCATGTAGCCTTCGATGTGAGCTATATTGGCCGTCGAACGGTTATCCCCGTAGCTATAGAACGTACCTGATGGGATGTCTCCTTTATTTATGTATGGCAGTCAGGGCGTGAGCCTTGGCTGGTGATCCTCGATGTAAGTCCGATGGGATGTTTCCGGGCATTCGGGGTGGATTTACTCCTACTGTCTGGGCATCGAATGTGAGGCGCGCGGGGGTTTTCGATACGTGTATCAGCAGTGGTCTATTGGTATAGGTGTGCACATGAGAGTTGACTCTGGGAAGGAGATGGGATATTAATTGATTTGTGTTCATACTGCGACCATACCTGCTTTATTTTATGAAATTTAATTTTAATTATTGCATAGTGGTGAGCACCTCGATATCCTATTGTGCTCATCCCCACCTGCTCTTCATGGATGCAGGTTAGTATTTGCAGGCACGATAGAGGGAGGCGAGTGGTGGTCATGTTATCGCTCATTTCCGCTGCTTAAATTGCTTATTATGAATTATGCATTCCTGACTTATGTTGAATACTGGATTATCGATAGGGAGTGTACTCCCTAGTGTTTATGGATTTGATGAACCCAGTCTTGGGAGTTGATGTCATTTATGAACCCGGGTTGGGTGTTGACTATTTACGATGATTGAACCCGGTTTTGGGTGTTGACAATTTATAATTATTGAACTCGTTGGGAATTGCATATGTGATATTGTTGAAATTGTTTTTGAAAAAGGAGTA